TACCTGACCTCTGAATAAACGGCACGATCAAGATCGATAAGTCTGTGTATAACTTACGCTCCAGACATAAATGTAGTAGCGCTTAGTGATTCCGAAGATGCTAGGGCTGTGCAGGCTCGCGAGGAATTTGAGAATCTTAGTTGGGTTCGTCAGCGATACAAATAATGACAAGTAAGCAGACATGGCCGTTAAAATGCTGGCAACAAGGCTCTAACCAACGTAAGCAGAACAGTGTCTTGCACAGTGGCCAAATGCTTGTTGTCTATTTTATGACGCAATGATTAGGCGACTATAACCGATTGTTGCACGATAGAGCAAGGGGAATTCAGGTATGTATCATAGATACAATTCATCCGTCTTACCAAGCATGGGCAATGCTTTGATTGATCGCGAGCATGTGAACAAGATCAGTGGCTTCGCAAGGGTCACATCGTATATCGGAACTGGGGTAGTCACTACCTGTCTGTCTTAGAGGAATGTGAGTGCGTTGTTGTGCGTTCAATCGCATGTGCGGATATATTGTCCAATTTCGTGATCCAATTCAAAAGTTCCAAACTTAACAACCACGCCACACCACGCCGTTTCAAACCGTTTAGTAAAAGCATACTTCGAAGCAAGTGCTTTTTACTTGAAATTTGGTATATGTTGGTACACCATCTTGAGTAGCCATGATTTGCTGATTTGTGCTGTGACGAATAGTAAAGTAAGCACTTACCGAATTTATGTCTTGTCCCGGGACCGATATCCTCACCGAATTCTGCAAGGGCACATGACATCCTTGTTCAGTATTGAATGTTGGCTGACAGTTGGTGATATAATAATGTGATCTGCCTCGCTTTATATCGTACTTTGTATCTATTGACTACATAAATATTTTGCAATATGTTCGTCTGTTGGCGGCTGAAGTTTGTAGAGTCATAAAGGGATCTACAGGGCTGTAGTGGTGTAAATAGTCGGTTTTAAGAGGTGGTAAGGCTGACCGATTTTCCATTTACAGTCTGATCGGATACTATCATCATCTTTTTAGGAATATTAGAGTGCGTATCAATGCATCTATTCATCTCCTGGGGGCTGCAGTCAAGTCGACATGAGCACTATTAATCAAGCGCAGTCATCACAAAAACATGCCTAGCTCAACATGCCTTGCCATTACAATATCACATATATTTTAGACATTTCGACTTGTATATATACAATCGATGTATCTTTCTCTTTCCTAATCACAAACATCATTCGATTTGTATTTATCACAATCTTACGATGTCTCCCTCTTTTCCCAACTTCAATCGCTGGGTAGCCAGTCAAAAGCCCCGCGCTCATACTATGCGTCATGCACCAGCCTTCTATCGCAACTTGGAGGAAGCTCTCGATTTTCGAAGAGAGAGTCATAATCTACAGACTCTAGTCAAAAACACATGGGCCAATGGAGAAACCGTAGATTTCTTCTCCAATGACTCTCTTTCCTTCGGTGCTAGTGGAAGATTACGTAAGGCTTTTGATGAAGAATTAGCTCGAAATCCGAACGTACAGCTCGGAGCTGGAGGTTCTCGCTTAGCGGATGGTAATTATGATTATATTGAAATAGTGGAGCAGGAGATTGCCGATTATCATGGAGTCGAAGCGGCGCTTATTGTAGGCTCGGGATGTAATGCTAATTGTGCGACTTTCGAAGCGATTCCGCAGCCGGGAGATGCTATTGTTTATGACGAGTTTGTTCACTCAAGTATCATGGATGGGATGTCGCGTTCGCTTGCTACTACACAAGTATCTTTCGCTCACAACGACATCGATGCATTTCGTCAAGTTTTAATGTTCTTGTCGGATTCACAACCCTTTATCAAACAGGGAAAGAAATGTGTTCTTATTGTCGTAGAGAGTTTCTATAGTATTGAAGGGGATATGTCTCCCCTAAAAGAGCTGGTACAGATAACAAAAGAGATGTTCCCACACGGTAACGCACAATTTATTGTCGACGAAGCGCATAGTATGGGCGTAGTGGGTGAAAGAGGATTAGGATATGTGAATGCCTTGAATTTGGATTCAGAAATCGCTATCAAAACTCATACATTCGGTAAAGCGTTCGGATCAATAGGTGGTAAGTGATCTCTCCCTTTCGACTCGTGTTGCGATGTCTCCGAGACTGACGATATTTAAAAGGTGTGATACTCGGTAGTCACACTGTCAAGAATGCATTAGTGAATTTTTCTCGTTCAACGGTGATTACTGCAGGACCGGCTTTTCATCAAGTTGCTGCGATTCGAGCTGGATACTCTCTCCTTCCACTATCCGAGGCTGAAGCAGTAGGCCTTTTTTCCTTTTTTCCCCCTTTCTTTCTCAAAACAAAATTCTGATCAGGAACTAACACATAAACCCAGGGACGAGCCAACATCCAGCACCTCGTCACACGCTTCTTCCAAAAAATAACCTCACATCCCATCTGGCCCCTCGCCAACAAACTCGGAATCATCTCAATACCCCTATGCGATTCCTGGGAAAAGCGCGCGTTTCAGACGCAATTAATACCGCTGTGGACGCGGGATGTACATGGTAAGGAATTGGCGTTTTATTTGGAGGAGAATGGGTTTGCGGTCTTTCCGGTAAGGTATAAGGTCAAGGAGGGGATGGCGAAGTTGAGAATTATTATGCACGCGGGACAGACGGGAGGGGAGGTGGAGGGGTTGGTGGAGGCGATTTGTGGGTGGGTTGGAGGGGTGGTGAGGAGGTTGGGCGGGGAGCGGGAAGTGGGGGTGGGGAATGGGAAAGGGAAAGGGAATGAGGGGAGTGTGAATTGTGGGGTGGGAAGGGGGTGGGAGTTTGTTGGAGAGGAGGAGGGGAGTGGTGATGAGGTTGTGGATTTATATGAGGAAGAGAGAGATATTGAGAGAGCTTGACACCATCAGATATCATTTAGCTTATGTGAGGAGGTAATATCTCTTATTTTTGAATTATAATCTCACAGTATCAGTATCAGCATAAGTATCAGTAAAATACAAACACATTCTTTCTCCACAATTCACATTCATCATATTCATTACACTCATCTATTTACTCCCCCAACAAAACACCCCCCTTCTTTCCATCTTTCCATCTTTCTTTTCTTCCTCCTTTCATCCAACCACAAACTACAAACTAAACACTAAAAACAAAATAAACATCTCCTCTAAAACTCCAATTTTACAAATATATATGCTTGAAAATACGGGTTAGCGAATCACAACCCCTGAAACCCGCTTCCACACCCCAACTGTTAGTCTTCTTTAATATATTGTCGACTTATCATTTCTCGTTTATCATTTCTTATTTAACCTTTATATGATACGATAAAATACAAATGAAAATATTCCCACACAATACAATATAACACAAAGCAGTAAATTACATCGCTCCCCAACATCCGGTAAAACCAATATTAAACAGATATACTGCGTACAGAGTACAGCTACTTCCACAGCTAGACAGAAAACTCAATCTATTGTTTAGCTCTAATACTGATATTGACATTGGGTCCTGAGAAAGTCGAAGAAACAATTGAGCTAAGCTAAATACTGTGTGCACGTTATATACGAATGAGTATCTCACCATAACTATCATCTGCACCTACAGCCGAGTACCCCTCATCTCTCTCATTTCCCATTCCTATTCCCTCATCCATTCATGCATCCATTCACCCTCTCAGCAGTCCAAAACCACCATCAATGACAACCCCCTCCCAACCACGCATCTTCATCCGTTCCGAAACCATCCACCTAATTTCCCACGGCCGTAAAACATGCATACTAGATGGCAACATCATAACAGCCGACGCATGGCTCCCTTTCCACCCCGGGGGCGAAAAATCCATCATGCATATGATTGGTCGCGATGCTACAGATGAGATCAATGCGCTACATTCGGTGGAGGCGAAGATACGGATGCGGAAATATGTAATTAGGAGGATTGAGGGGAGGTGGGAGAATTTGGTGGTGGAGATGCGAGGGGGAGGGAGTGGAGCAGGGGTATTGGTAGGAAGAAGAGGGGGAGAGGAATCGAGGTATTCTGGGGATGGAACATCAGCATTTCCGATTTTCGATACGGTAGAAAAAGGAGCGTTTGAGATGTCCAGGTGTCGAGACACAGAAATCTCGAGCTTCGGATTTATCCTCGATGGAAAAAGAAAAAGCGAACTTCACATCTCTAGAAGCATTAACCACCCACGCCATATCCACCGATCTCTCCAAGTATCCCTCTCTAGACTCCAAATCCTAACACGAGATTGTCTTCAAATATCGCCAGCTGGATGAGAAGTTGCGATCTGAGAGACTTTACAATTGTCCATATAGTTCTTACAACATTGACGCATTTCGATACGTCGTACTCTTTGCTCTCTTCTGGACATGTTTGCAGTACTCATACTATAAATTCTCGGGGCTTTTCCTCGGATTCTTCTGGTACTAACTAGTATTCACCGCGCACGATGCCTGACACACGGGGATAACGCGTGGATTTCATACCGACAGCTGCATTGGGATGTTCATCGCCGATTTCCTTGGGGGTCTCTCCATCGGATGGTGGAAGCGAAATCACAACATCCATCACATTGTGATCAACTCCCCTGAGCACGACCCTGACATTGAACACATGCCTTTTTCGCCATCTCTCATCGATTCTTCTCGTCCCTTTATTCCACTTGCTATGATCGCGAGATGAAATTCGATGCCGCGTCGCGATTCTTCATCAAACATCAACACTATCTCTACTATCCTATTCTCCTCATGGGAAGATCCAATCTCTACATCTTAGCATGGTCCTATCTCCTAAACCCTAGCCAAGCACCTCGCAAAGGGTCCGCATGATGGCACCTCTACCTTGAAATAGCCGGCCAGCTATTTTTCTGATACTGGTTCGGCTATCAAACTCTCTACCTGCGTATTCCCACCTGGTCGTCGCGTATCGCATTCCTCCTCGTCTCGCACTTGCTCACCTCCCCCCTGCACGTCCAACTAACCCTCAGCCATTTCGCCATGTCCACCAGCGACCTCGGCCCCGCCGAATCCTTCCCCTTGAAAATGTTTCGCACAACCATGGATATCGAGTGTGCCTCCTGGATGGATTTTCTACACGGCGGATTGCAATTCCAAGTCGTGCATCATTTGTTTCCGCGACTGCCGAGACATAATTTGCGCAGGGCGCGGGGGTATGTGAGGGAGTTTTATGAGGATGTGGGGATTCCGTATGTGAGTTTTGGGTTTGTGAGAGGGAACAAAGAGGTTATCGGCAGACTGGGTGAAGTTGCGGCCCAGTTGAGGGTTTTAGAGGAGTGTAGGAAGGTTGCTGCACGGGACTTGGTTGAGGGCCACGTCGAAGTCACACTAGGAACGACGTAAGAGTTTCTCCCCGCAGACCCTCTTATGATAAGATTGATGTACTGGCAATTGAGAAGTTCCCGAGCTCAGTGAGATGATGAGGATGAGTTTCGGTGATGGTAGGTAGGAGATGAGGGTTATTAACATTGAGAATAGTGATTGAGGAAATCAATAGACTCTGTGCATAAACATGCGACTCAGTAGATAGAATTAACAAATGAATTGATTGTTGAACCTGATTAATCATTTCATCGAGGAACCGCACGCAAACCCTTCATAATATAATGATCAATCAAAATAGATGGCCTCGACATACACAACAAATCCGCTCAAGCTATAGAAAACATCCATACAGTAAATTATTTTTCATTGAATCGTAAATTCTAGCTCTAATAGCTCGCTTTAAGGTATAATATCTCTCAATACTGAGCAAAACATCACATCATGTCATTTTTTTGACTCCCATTTTTACACATTAACATAATCTAATCGAAAACAATAGCTGCCTTAATAGCACTCTTGTTCTTGATAGATTCCAAAGCTTCACCCCATTGTTCAAGCTTGAAGGTCTTGTTGACAATACCCTCAACCTTGACCTTGCCGGAGTCGAGGTAATCGATAGCAGCAGCTATATATTGTTAGTAACAGAATAAGTGTATATAAGATGAAGGAGTGCTTACGGAACATGTAAGTCTCGGAGAAGGAACCAAGAATGGTGATTTCATCACCAAAGATCTTGGATGGTGGCCAGGTAACTCTAGCAGAGCTGCTGTAGACACCATAGACTACGAGCTTACCTCCACGACGAACGTAGTTGATAGCATCCTCGAGAATCTTAGCGCTTCCGGTAGCTTCAACAACGATGTCGAAACCGTATTTGTACTCATCCTTGATTTGTTGGAATTGAGCTTCTGGGTTATCACGGGAAAGTTCGATGTAGATATCAGCAGCGTCAAGCTTCTTTGCGAGATCCATCTTAAGACCACCTGGTGCAGCGAGGACGACCTTGCATCCACCATTTTGTCTGAGCAATTGAGCGAGAACGAGACCAGTTGGTCCAGCACCGAACATGAGAACGGATGAACCCATCTTTGGTGCAATCTTCTCAAGACCGTGAGCAGCACATGAGGCTGGCTCGAGGAGGGTGGCATCAACATCTGAGAGGTTCTCGATCTTGAAGACCTTAGCGGCTGGGTAAGCACAGTACTCTGCGAAACCACCGTCTGAATTGAATTAGCTTTGATACCTAGTGTGGATATCTAACTAACTTACCCATGGTAACACCGTGGGCGTTGAAGTTCTCGCACAACAAGAGTTGACCACGACGGCAGTAGAAGCACTCCTCACAGAGCTCGGAGTTACTGTGAATGGATTAGTATATTGAGAATACATATATGATTGGACGGTACTCACTCAGCTACAACTCTGTCACCAACATTGAAGCCCTTGACCTTAGGTCCAGTAGCAGCGATAACACCAACAGTTTCATGTCCTGTAAGATCCCAGTGTTAGATGCTTGATCAGAGTCTTGATGGAATGTAACATTATGAGGTAGAAACCAAGTGGAAACTCTTTCGATATGTCCATATTGGTTGTATCATGGGGATTAGTCTGCAGATGACCAATCCTCCACTAGAGGACGGCTGGATAGAAAGTTTGTGTTCCCCTCTTCAACCAATTATGTTATGTATCATTGCACTCGCCAAGATATGCAACTGTCTTCACCAGCTAAAGACATCCGATTATTCAGAGCAAGGAGTCGACGAAGAAAGGAAGGAAGGTATAGCATACCAGGAATGAGAGGGAACTATAAATAACATCACATTAGCTTTTGGTTCTTATAAAATATATATAATCATCCCAATATATTTAGCTTAAAGCACATAAACCTCTCAAGGTACCTAGGTGTAGGTACCCATCCAGGTGTATATTCTCAACCCGCATACTCGTCTCAATAGACAAAACGTCATGGTGGGGAAGATCACATCACCCCTTTCTAATTCACATATATAACAGGGAAGGTTCTCTCTCTTACCTTTGCAATGAATTCTCCCTCGTGGATGTGCAAATCGGTTCCGCAAACACCACAGGCCTTGACCTTTACCAAGACATCGTTATCACGGAGCTTTGGGAGAGGAACCTCAACGATTCCATATTCTTCTGGCTTGGAGTATCTATTATCGTCCGAGTTAGCTTCAATGTCTCAACTGTTGTGCCTTCTCAAGTGGTGAAAGGATAGAAATGTGGTTGATTCAAGTGTATCAAACACTCTCGGTTTCTCGAAAGATTTCGTTCTGTCAAACAGCCATAATCATTGAATGGGTTGAATCATTCAATCGATATCAGCCGTACAAACAATGAGCTCATCGAACATCTACTGGACACACTACTACTTCCAACACGATGCCACCCGCAAAACCCCTCACAAAAACCAGAACAGCATACATACCTCAAAGCTTTCATGGAAGTTGGGAGAGACATATTAGCTAGTATGATCTTTTGATTCTCTTGAAGAAAGTTGAACAATTAAGAGTCAAAGTAGGGTATCTTTTGAAGGTACGTTATTGAGGGTATTATTTTTCAAATGGTATGAAGAGAGGAAGCAAGACGAGAGAGAAAAAGATTGGCTTTCTTATAGTAATGAAGCTACGCAAGATATGGAAAGAGGGAGGGACAGCCAACCCCCTTGTCATGGTGGGGTGGGATACCTAGCATGAAATGATTATGATCCTGTTGTTGTTGGATGCCCCGCCATTGAATCATCTGGAAATGTTTCCATCAATCTTACTTGGATCATGGAATGGCTACTTCGTAGCTGAGCGGTTCGTGGGAACGGTTCCTTGCAATTGGCTCCATAACAAAGTTTAAGGTATGAGTTGGTGCGAGTTGAAGTGCACTGTGCAAGCCATATGTACCTAAGAATGCTAGGTAGCTACGACGTGGTGAGTTCGGACTAGACGGCGTTACGACTGACTTGTTCTTATTGCTGATTTATGAGGTATGGATAGCTACGATGAGGTCTAATATCAATCATCGGACGGCATCCAGCAGAATACAGCATACATTTAATACTTCTCGGTTCTTAAGGGACTCAGAGAACGATCGAGAAGCATCAAACATAAAAACATACACCGCACAACGTTAACAGAAAAACAATATACTTCCTCCAGATTCTACTCACCCACCCCTCCTCTACAAAATTCGACAAGGGAAAGCGCGTTACCAAGGTATCAAGCACCAATCGGACATCCATTCCTCAAGCTTTCTCAAGCCATCTAAACGCCACGAAAGGCAATAGGATGTGAGGATCAAAAAATAATCGTACAACCCCACGTTTCTCACGAGTCACCAACATTTTTACATACATCGTCGATATTTTTATGGATTTGGACTGTTTGACATTCTAGGCCATCTCCACTACGAAACTCTTTCACTCATCGACGGAACACCAGAAGATCGATATCAACATCCAAATTCCGAATATATCATGGTCAGAAATGGACATCAACATAAAGAGTAAGACCGAGCAGAAGTACGATGACGATATTGACTACAGATTATTGCTCTAGGTGGGTCAAAAATCGGAAAAGGTCGCGGGGATATTGGTGGGGTTGCTTTTTTCGGTTTCTAGTACTTCATAGGCCGACCTTCCATCTGTATGAACAACGAAACACTTTTTGAAATAATTACATGAACGAGCATGACCTGGTCTGACCACATGTTGATGAGTTTCGAGCCTCCATTTGAAATCTTTGATCTGGTATTTCTGATCTCCCTTGACCGTTATTTCATCTTCCATGGCCGAAAGACCCGAGTAATATGTGGCATAGAATGTGTCCGGGCCGCTGCGTTTCGTTCGGGATCATTAGGTAAAATTTTAACGTGTACATTAATAACAAAAGTAGTTCATGGTAACACAATGTTAACTTCACCAAAATATCAATTTCATACAACGTCAAAAGATCCAAACAGTCACGAAAAGAAAAGCAGAGAATGAGTCGCAGGATGTGTGAGGGAATATCGTGTTTTCACGTCATAATAAATTGAAGGGGTATTGGAAGAAGCTCATTATGCTACCTGACAGTTTTGAAGTGTCAACTTCCACCTTCGACCTATGCTCCCCCGGCGATTACTTTCACTCGACCTAACGCGCTACTGTCCAGTCGTCCAGCCATACAAGAGTTTATGAGGAATTCCTGTCGGATGCATTGAGCAAGCGTAAAGAAATTGTAGAATAAATCTACGAAGGAGGGGCAGCTCCACGTCCACGTCCAGCACCACCACGGCTGTGAAAGAAAATGTTAGGAATGATCAACCAAATATGATAGATGCGTGAAACTTACAATGTTGGGTTGAACTCTCCTGGTGCGGCACCTTCCTTGCTCTCACCACCCTCACGTCTGCGGTAATCGCTACGGTCACCACGCTCTCCACCACCACGTCCACCGCGGCCACCGAAAGGCTTGCGCTCACGCTCGTCACCTCCCATCATTCCACGAGGAGGAGCGTGGGATCTTTGGACCTTGATGTGAGTAGCTGGGACAATCTCAGCGGGGAGATGGAGCCATTCGCGGAGGTAGTCGAGACCCTCTGGGGTGAGGGTGTAGTAGTAGTATTGCCAAGAGAATTGGGTCTTGACAAATCCACGGGAGGTCAAAGATTGACAAGCCTTGACGACGTAAAGGTTACGGGTGTCGATATCTGGGTGCTTGTTTTCGTACTCCTTCTTTGCGACAAGTACGCCCTCACGGAACAAGTACTCGTGAATCAACTTGCGGTCGGCCTTTGGGATAAGCCTGTAAATTAATTTATTAGTCTTTTTGCATTTTGAGATAATAACATCAAGACAATTGTTAATATCTTACATCTTGGCGGTTTGTCGAGTTGCTTGAAAGTTTGTCGATGTCGAGAGGTGTAAGAGAAGTCGAAGTAATTCAAAATTCGAATATTCTGAATTGTGTGGTTCAAGCGCTAGCAAGCGAAGATGTGGCTGATAGCTTTGCAGAATCCAAAATCGATACACGTGATTATAGACACAGCCACTCAGCCACTCGGGTGTTCTACGGCTTAGGAACTTCCATCCTTTGGACGTTGATATCAAACTTATCGAAAACCACCAACGCCATCGCAAAGCGCGATAAAAGTTTCAATTCTATTAAAACAATCCCGATAACAAAAAACTAACAATATGGTATCACAACCTCAAACCGTCAACGTTTTGTTGACTTCATTTCCGGGCTTGAATTTACCTTCGACTCTATCCCTACCTCTGCCTACAACCACCACCATATCAGAGCTTCAAAACAAACTTTACGAACGCATTCCATCTCAAGATCGTCGCCTTATTCTCACAACCATCTCGAATAAGTTACTTTCTGCTGAATCAACTTCTCCAATATCAGATTTGCTATCAAATCCGGACGATGAATTTCTATCTTTACGACTTTCAGCGCGATTATGTGGTGGCAAAGGAGGTTTTGGATCTCAACTTCGTGCAGCTGGAGGTCGCATGTCTTCGAAACGCAAGAAGGGACAAGGTGACCAAAACGGATCAAGTCGAAATTTGGATGGCCGCAGGTTACGAACTGTCAATGAAGCAAAGGCATTAGCTGAATATTTAGCAATCAAACCTGAAATGGCAAAGAAAGACAAAGAAGAGAGAAGGAAACGATGGGAGCAAGTTGTTGAATTGGCAGAGCGAAGAGAACAGGAAATTAAGAATGGTACTAAAGGAAAGGTGGATGGAAAATGGGTTGAGGATAAGGAGGAAGCCGGAGAGAGAACGCGTGAGGCTGTTCTCGCGGCTATGAAAGCTGGGGATTATAAGGATAACTTGTTAGCAACATCCATAGGCAGTGGATCAGGAACCGATGGCTCTGCTAGTGAAGAAGATGAGGTTATGGGTGGTACAGACTCGAACGATACATCTCCACTATCTGAGTCTACACCCGGTAAGCCGAAGGCTATGAATTTTTTTGGCTTTGACGAGGATGACGAGTTTATGAGTGATGACGACGAGGAAGTGGAAGAGGAAGTGGAAGGGGAAGATGAAGGCGATTTAGTCGAAGCCAAGAAGCCTGAAATACCCGAGGAAGTTGAGGAAGAAGAAGAAGAAGAAGAAGAAGCAGAAGCAGAAGAGGAGGAGGAGGTTGAAGTTGAGGAAGTTGCCAAAGAACCAACACCACCCCCTGCCCCGGCTCAAACAAAAGGCAAAGCTCGATCAAGGATACCCGTCAAATCACAAGCAAAGGCGCCTGCAAAGACACCTGCAAAATCTCCCGCAAAAGGAAAAGGAAAAGGCAAGGGGAAAGCTAAATGATTCAAACTCTCATATATATTAATATTACAGCGCGGCGCTTGGGACTATGATTTCTAGCGAAACATTCACGGACTGCTTAAATAGCGATCACTACAAAGAAACCATAACTAATCTAACCTACTGATACTGAGACTACTTGTGAATATGTACAGGCTACGTCCTTTCCTTCGTTCACACCCTTACTTCGAATTTTCACCCTTGTTCATCCCCTCTCCCTATTGAACATTCACTGAGATTTCACTCTACCAGGACCGACCATTCTTCTGAAGTATAAGAAAATACATCATACGTAAATGCAAACGACAATGAAATCATAATTTCTTCGTAAGAGCACAGGTATCTCTTATCCTTCAGATTATGAATAGAAAGAAATAGTACTTTAAGTAGTTCCAGGTAGTTGAAACAAATGTTGTGCTATCTATCCTGTATGTATGGTCCTGATGATGCATACGAGTACCGAGTACCTACATATGCAGTAGCAGATGCTTTGTAGCGGGGTAACCGATAACTACCTGCTCGAGAACAGCTTCCCCTCAGATAAGCACCAACAGTAAGACAACTATATATCATAATTAATACATCCAATCTTGACTTCCATTTAGACCAATGCATTTTAGTTGAAATCCTGTATCTGCAAAAATGTCTAGATTCAATTCAAGAACTCTTATCAAAACCAACCTCTTGAAAACAACCCCGAGGATTGGAAACTTTAATTGGATTAGAAACCTTTCCCAGGGCTCGTTGGGAATAGGGGATTTATCAGAGGGCAAAATTATGGAGATCACACGAAAGGTTGATAGAGAAAGATTGTGGAGAGAGTTGCATTATACGTGTCAATGGGGGAAGGGGGAGAAATGGGGAGAGTATGTTTGATTTCTTTCATTGGATTTGCACTTTGAGCTCTAATATGAGGGAAGGGAAGGAAAGGGAAACAAGAAAAGAGGACAGGGGGGGAGGGAGTGGAAGTGACATTGGATAGTTCCCGAAAGTCTTTGGGTCTGGAGAATCTGTATGCTGGATATGTTCAGATGTTACTCAATGCAGCCTGCCTGCTTGTCATCTTTAATATGGGTTCCAATCTGCGTAGTGCATTAGTTGCATATAAATCAAGCGATGCATCACACGGGGCGCATCACCATGGTTCTACTACAGGATCGATCTACATCTATCATTTGCATAGAGCATCTTTCAATCTTTTCAATCTACATTATGTTGCATAATATATACAGAATTCTAATAGCAATCCAGAGGAGAAACCGATCGAGGAATGTCCCGACTTGCGCTCTCTTCCGCCGACAAACAAGCACGAGATTGGTTTGTCGAAACAACTAAACATCTCGGCTGCGATGTGAAGATTGACACTATGGGTGAGCTTCCATTTGCCTTCCCTGCTGCATTCTTCCATATGCCCATATTCCCCCACACCTTTTACCTGTAACCTCCTTATATCACATTACCGAAACCCATGTAATGACGATTGATCAACATAGGTAACATTTTCGCAATTCGGCCCGGAAGAAAGGAGGGACCAGCTACCTATGCGGGGAGTCATTTAGATACACAGGTATGTACTTCCAAAATGATACACCATACGTGAGCAAATATTTTATGATGATTGACTAATGAGTCAAAGCCAACGGGAGGAAGATATGATGGAATATTGGGTATTCACGCAGGTATTGAAGCCTTGAGGACAATGAATGATTTGAAGGTTGAAACAGAATACCCTACGGGAGTTATTAATGTTTGTTGTACTATGATTCCGTGGCTATATGCAATGACACGCTAACTTGGTGGATGTAGTGGACAAACGGTACACCTCAGCATTGCTCTGACACCCATCTCTAACCTTCGTTCTAACTCCCACCACAGAAGAAGGAGCGCGCTTCCCCAAATCCATGATATCATACGGTGTGTGGGCTCACGACATTCCCCTCTCAGTGGCCCATGATTTGGGCGAAGTAAATGGGCCAGCGACCATGAAATCAGAATTGGAAAGAATAGGATATCTCGGTGCAACTCCTACATCGTATATGGATAATCCAATCGGTGCACATTTTGAACTACATATTGAACAGGGACCGATTCTCGAGAAGAGCAAAACGAAGATTGGGGCTGTAACGGGAGTGCAGGCCTATAGGTGGTATACTATTACGGTCAAAGGAAGAGATTGTCATACCGGTACATTGTGTTGTAGAAATTTGCCTGTAACTGAAGAGATGTGAATGTGGGAGAGATGAATTGAGAATTCTTTTAGGTACAACGGATTTCGAGAATCGTTCAGACGCTATGCTTACAGCTGCAAAAATTATTCTTCATAGCCACAACAAGGCAGCTGAAATGGGTTGTCTCGCATCCACAGGTAATGAAGCCCTTTCTCTCAAGACAAACTGCAGTACTTTGCTTACCTATGCTAGGTATTCTCACCCTCAAGCCTGGCTCTACTAATACTGTTCCGGGATTCGTACAGTTTTCACTTGATATTAGGTCTCCGGAGGATCAAAGGCTTCTAAACTGTGAGAAAGAACTTAAAAGAGATTTTGAGTTGATTGCTGCTGGAGAGCAGATGCCAACTCTTGGTGCTAGTGGAAAGAGAGGTAAAGGTTGTATGGTGGAATGGAAAATGGATACAGACTCTCCGGCTACTCATTTCAACGAAGATTGTATTCGATGCGTAGAAGAGAGTGCTGGAGATTTGATTGGAACAGCTTCTGGTATCGGAGATCAAGCAGAAGCCGTCTCCAAAAGCTATAGGAGAATGGTATCGGGCGCTGGACATGATAGGTAAGAATGAGAATCTGATGATAAGAACAACGCTAAACATAATCTAGTGTTTATACCTCGAGACATGCTCCGACCTCAATGTAATACTCCTCCATTTCACTTATATCGGAACATCACTAACCATAACTAGGATCTTTGTGCCTTGTAAAGACGGCGTTAGTCATAATCCAGCCGAGTATTGTAGTCCAGAAGACTGTGGGAATGGTGCACAAGTCTTGCTTGGAGCGATGTTGAGATATGACCGACTGAGTGCTCTGAGAGAAGCCTGAATGCACTTTTAAAATGCATAACTCATGAATATCAACGTATCTACCAAATTTGAATCAAGCACGTCTATTCAAGGCGACTCGTTTCTCATCAATTCGCATAATGACTCTGTATGATACATCCATTGTAAACGTCCTCTGCTCTATCACACCATGCAACCCTCTAGAACCCTTGAATTCCTTACTGATCCAATCGAGTGGGGAATGTTCCGTTGTCTAAAATATTTCACATTAGCCAAACCTTGCCTTCCGATCCCTTTTAAGTTCCGCTACTAACCACGTTGGTCATCCCATCTCTCAACCCAGGCACTTGGGCACAATGACTTATAAGCCAAGAAGAACTGTTCCCCTCCATCAGTATATTTCCCCTCTGAATCGATCGCAAAAACGTACTTGACGGCATGGTGCGAAATCCTCGCCCTTGGCTAGGACACACTTGTGATAATCGACATAGTTTTGCCAGCAATGTTTAGTTTGGTTCTGGTTGGGGAATCGAGCGTCGAATCCTATATCCTACAATCAGCCTTCTGGTCATTTCGCAGGGCCCAGCGGCGGAGGAATTGCATACCAGCTATTTAGAAATCCAGTTAGCAATCAATCAGACCATTTTTAAATGCCCAGACAGTGGGCGGGTCCCCGGGTGACACATACCAGTAACGAACTTGAAGGGCTTGGTCTCGCGTTCCTCAGACATGTTTGCGTATTTATTCTCTGGCGATCACAGAATTTAGAGGGGAGATGGTGGTGGTGGCCGTGGTTCAATTGAGACGAATGATGTGAGGTTGATTGGAATGGGCCTGCACTTTCTCACTTCGGGATGAAGTCGGCTAAGGCCGAGCTCGCTAGCGCGGAAATGCAGGTCCTCCAAAACCTCAGACCACGGAAGTAAGTGTAATTCTATTCAGAAAGACTTGAAGATTGAACAACGGTTCAAGATGCATCCTACTACTGTTACTAGAATGTTCCAACCGACCAAGAAGATGTGGTCGCCTGTGCCCGTAAGTTCGTTTGTTGTTAATTTGCGATTTTGCGATTTTGAAGGTGGGAGGGCTAATGTTTTGTGGCTTTACAGAAGGAGGAGCATAGCGGTACGTTCACCCCACGATTGGATAATCGGAGAGCTGGAGGGGAAAGACTGAATTTAGATTGGGAAATACGATTTTAGCAGATGAGAATCGAGACTGACAATAAGGTCGACAGCCCACACTATCTCGCAACGATTGCGCCAATGGAAGAAGATTCCTCCCGAGTTGGTTCCTTTGGGTATGTCTACATCTTCTCCAGAATACGGCCAGAATTTACACTGATATCAATTTGAAGGAATCGTCGTCGGTGTCGCTGTCGGATTCGCTTTCTACTCCTTGGGTCGCAAACTTGTTGTTGATAAGCAAATGCGTCTCTCCAGACAAAACAGAGCAAAGGAATAAACTATTCATCTACAAAGTTTCGGAGGTTTGGAAACAGACTGATTGTCGGGAAAAAGTTCATACATCAAAAGCGATACTGAATGGAACGCGCTGGGGGGAAGAATGGAATGGAGAAATTAGAATGGATGCATGGGCCAAACCTCGAATGAGTTGTACAGAATTGGCCCTTATTTCTCATGAATACATAGTCTCCATACCTGATATCTCATGCTTTTCATTGTCCAACTCCAACCTATACATTGAAGAGCATGTATACGCTTCTCCCTGCCACCTAAACTCCTTTCGCTTTACTCCAAAAACTCCCTAGTAACATATTTCATGACCTGTAGCCGACGAACATAACACAGCCCTTCTTCAAGCCGGCTTGGGCCCAGCTACATCCAATCCTTCTAGACCTTGCATAGGATCATCATGTCTATCCTGAACTCCGGCTCTTGCTTGCTCAGCTGCAAGTTTGTCCTCCTCACTCACAGCATTCTCTGCTAGCCAGCCCTCCTGTATCGAAATATCAGTGACTACCCAAATCACCCCCTACCATCACACAGCAGGATTCCATGAAGTCTTACCTGCTCCCATAAAGCCGTCTTACTTCCCAATCCCTCATTCGCATTCTTTGGAGGCTTAGCCGCATTAACTTTGATCACCTTTCCAAATAGCTCAGATTGGTCCATATTGTCGATGGCATCTTTGGTATCTTCTGGGTCCTCAAACTCTACATATCCAAAACCTCGATGTGGCTCTGTTGAGTTGGGCCCATCTGCTTTGCTAAAAGATTTTTAACATAAGGACATTGAAATGTAGCGCGGAGGACTTACGGTATAGAGACATCTGCTATTTCTCCAAAGGGTAAAAATGCTGCTTCGAGATTTGCGGTGGTAACCATGTGGGAGAGACCACCAACGTACACAGTAGCTTTCCAACGTGCTTGATCGGTCATCTTGTAGATTATGGGAAGTATTAGACTGAATCAAGATTAAACGAATCTCTGGTGTATTTGTCACTTCCAAACTGCCCAAATGCTATCCAACAAATCGCGAAAGGAGTCTTTAATCACGTGTCAGCTCTTTTTTAAGATTCACAATCCTACGGGCGGGATCTCTCGCTATGACCATCCGATTATGGGGAAAGGTGTTCACAGTGCTACTCCCTATAAACAATTCAACAGACCGCAACTTTTGCTGTCTTTACACGTCTCATACAATTTAAAATATACGAGTATTTTCCATTTGTCTCTACCGGTGTAGTGACAAAATCGGTTGAAAAGGCACACCGCGGCAAACTTTCCGCAGTGTAATCTGGCTTGTTAATTCTACAAATAGAGACGAGACAATGGTCCGTCTAAGGGAAATTCCCAGAACTGCGGCCTTCGCCTGGTCCCCAGGTCCAGAGACTCCTTTGGTTGTCACGGGTACCAGGGCTGGGGCTGTTGATGCGGATTTTTCTGATGAGACGAAGCTGGAGCTTTGGGATCTAAGCTTGGATAACGACGAGCAAGGTGTAGAACTACAACCTATTGCTAGCATTAGCACAGACTCCAGGTATGCCGATGGATTGTTTGTATCGAGCTTAAGGACTTCAGAAAGGCTAACTGTTCCATTAGATTTCACGACATTGCATGGGCACCAGCAAATGCAGACCATCCGCGGGGCATAATCGCAGGCGCACTTGAGAATGGATCGTTGGATTTATGGGATGCAGAGAAACTTATACAAGGAGCTGAGGATGCTTTCATGTCTAGGACGACGAAACATACGGGTGCTATCAAGTCTCTTCAGTTTAACCCATTGAAGCCACAAATCCTAGCTACTGCTGGCTCTAAGGGCGAGCTATTCATCTACGACGTAAACGATATCTCCAATCCATTTAGATTAGGCACAGCTGCCGCAAGATCGGATGACCTCGAATGTGTTGCATGGAATAGAAAAGTTCCCCATATTTTGGCAACTGGTGGAAGTGGAGGATATGTTACCGTCTGGGATTTGAAGACCAAGAAGGCTTCTCTACAATTGAGCAACAATCGAAAAGCGGTAGGAGCGATTGCATGGGACCCAAATAATGCGACAAAGCTTTTGACTGCTACACCCGACGATTCTACACCGGTCATTCTTTTGTGGGATCTCAGAAACTCAAATGCGCCTGAGCGTACTTTACAAGGGCATATGCAAGGAATTTTGTCATTGTCTTGGTGTCAACAAGATGCCGATCTTCTGATATCTTGCGGTAAAGATAATAGAACTTTGATCTGGAACCCTCAAACTGGGGAACAATATGGAGAATTCCCTGAAGTCACCAATTGGACCTTCCAGACTAGATTCAATCCGCACAACCCCGCATTGTCTGCCACTGCGTCCTTTGATGGAAAGATAGCTATTCAGACCTTACAAAATACAAACCCTACTGCATCCCAAGCCCCCGTTGCAGGTCCAATTGATGGCGAGGACTTTTTCACCAAGGCCCAAACTGAGCCTCAAGGGGCTTCATTTTCATTGAACAAAGCTCCTAAGTGGCTTGAACGACCGGTTGGAGCTTCTTTCGGATTTGGTGGCAAATTAGTGAGCTTTAACTTGTTACCAACTGTAGCAGGAAAGCCTAGATCCTCCAAGGTCCAAATTTCTCAATTCACGGTTGATTCAGACGTAGGATCTGCTACTGAGTCTTTCGAAAATGCCCTCAAATCCGGGGATATTAAGAGCATTTGTGAAACTCATATTGATCAGGCCAAGACCGAGGAAGAGAAGGCAGACTGGAAAGTTATCGAGACATTGATTGCAGCCAACCCTCGAAAGCAAGTCACCGAATACCTTGGATTCTCTGACATAGACGAGATTACGAATGGTGTATCAGGACTTGACGTAGAGGATGCTGAAAAGTCGGAAGAAGCGCCAGCTGATGCCAATGGAGAAGCAGGAAAGAACAATAGATTATCTACACTTTTCGATGGTGCCGAAGGTGATGATTTTTTGACGGATATCCCAGCAAATAAGGGAGCCAAGACGGATAATCCTTTCCATCTATTTGCTGAATCCGATTCGGCCTCGGAAAAACAAATTACCAAAGCTTTGATGCTTGGCCAGTTCGAAAAAGCGATGACTGTCTGTCTTAAGGAGGATCGTATCGCTGATGCATTCATAATTGCCAATTGTGGTGGAAAGGAGTTGTTAGATAAAGTTCAATCTGCCTACCTAGCCAAAAAGGCAGAAGGCCCCAACTATCTACGACTCCTTAGCTCAGTCATTGGCAAAAACTTGTGGGATGTTGTATACAATGCTGACCTGGAGAACTGGAAAGAGTCGATGGCAACTTTATGCACATATGCCGATCCAGCTCAATTCCCAGATCTCTGTGAGGCGCTTGGTGATAGGCTTTTGGAATCTGGCACTGCAAAGGATGCTTCATTCTGTTTCTTGGTTGGTTCAAAGTTGGAGAAGGTCATCAACATCTGGATTTCCGAACTTCAAGAGAACGAAAAGCATGGCATTGAAGAACAAGAAGGCGATTCTACATTCTCCGTACATGCAAAGTCACTCCAAAACTTTATCGAAAAGGTCACCGTATTCCGCAATGTCACCAAATTCCAAGATCCTGAGCAGAGTTTGACATCAGACTGGAAATTGGAAGCTTTGTATGACAAATATACAGAGTATGCAGACATTGTTGCTGCTCACGGGCATCTCTCAATTGCTGAAAGATATCTTGATCTTCTTCCAGCTCAGTATCCTGCTGCAGAAGTTGCACGAGACCGAGTCAAGCGTGCATCAAGAAAGGTTGCCCCTACCACTACCGCGAGACAGCCAGCAGCTTCGTCCAGAGTCCCAGCACGTGCTCAGCCAGCCGCATATCAACAGCCAATTCCTGCTGCTGTGGCACCCCCAGCCCAATCTGCTCCAAATCCGTACGCTCCACCTGCCGCTACTGCTCCAGCTTCTAATCCTTATGCGCCACCCACTTCAGGTGCTTCTAATCCATATGCACCTGCAGCAAGCGCTTACGCACCACAAGGTTACCAGCCACCACAACCATCTCAGCCTGCTTACGCACCTTCGTACGGAGCATACGGAGCAGCTCCATCAGGTTATGGAGCACCTCAACAATCATTTGGAGCCCCCCCTCCGAGAAACACAACTCCATCAGCTCCACCTCCATCTAAAGCTAAAGATATGACAAACTGGAATGACACACCTTTCGTAACAAAGGTTCCTACTGCTAGAAGAAGTACCCCTGTTGCAAATCCATTCCCAAATCAACAAGCTGCTTCAATGCCACCTCCAGCAAACCCATACGGTGCTTCCAGGGCAACACCCCCACCTCCTCCACCTAAGGGATCAGCCCCACCACGTATTAGTTCGCCATTGACGACTGCACCACCTCCTAGACCGTCATCCACGGCCAATGCATATACTCCTCAAGCACCCCCTGCTCAATCACCATATGCATCAATACCACCACCTACAATTCCTCGTGGAGCTTCTCCATATAATTCACCACCTGTCGGGGCTGCACCAACAAGCAGATACGCTCCATCTCCAGCAGCGCAACAATACTCTCAACCACCTCCATCAAATATTGCTCCACCTCCTCAGGGAGGTATGAGACCACCTCCATCTAACCCATATGCGCCACCGTCAGCTGCACCACCTAGCCAGTACGCGGCATCTCAATCACCATATGAAAGTCAGCCTCCACCTTCACAGTTCCAAAACCAAGGTCCTCCCCAAGGTCCTCCTCAGACTCAACAAGGGCCACCGCAAGGTCCTCCAATGGGCGGTTCTCGACCACCAACTGGGCCTCCTAGGGCTTCTGCCGTTGCAGCTGCTCCAGCAAAACCTAAGCACCCTGCTGGTGATAGATCACACATTCCTGAGTCTGCTCAGAGAATGGTCGAAATCTTCACGAGTGACATGCAAAGAGTAGCCTCGAAAGCTCCAGCAAATTTTGCTCCTCAAGTGAAAGACACTCAGAAGCGCCTCAACATCTTGTTTGATCATCTGAATAATGAGGAACTTGTAAAACCTGACACTATCGAGAAGTTGACTCAGTTGGCGGAAGCACTACAATCTGGTGACTACGAAACAGCAAGCAGGATGCAAGTCGACATTCATCGTGAAAAGCCTGATGAGTGTGGCAATTGGATGGTAAGTTTTATAGTTGTCTTCTTGGGATTCGAACGTAACATATACTAATGATCATACAGGTCGGTGTCAAACGATTAGTTAGCATGAGCAAAGTCACTCCTTAAAGTTGAAGCGATTAGTTTATTTTATTTTGAGAACTAAAATCCGGAACGAAGGAATGAGAATTAAGATGAGAGCGAAGCATGTGTGTATAGTAAAGAAATATTGCTAGAGTAAGAACTTATTCTTTATAATACTGCTTTTTTATCTTTACATTGAGAGTAACACCTATGATTGCAATTGTGTATTGATATAAATTGGCGAGGAATACCCTAGAAATGAGGTCTTTCTGGTCCTAGAAGTGGTGAACATGATACCAATCAACTTCTCTTATAGATTATGAATGAATCAATGATTTCCATTGTAAGAACCTTGAAATATTATACTGTGTGGTTGATACGATACCAATAATGCACAATTATTTGATTTCGTTAGTTCTATTAGCTGCAAGTCAAATCATTGTTAAAGCTAGTGCAATAATAAGTGCCTACTTGGTGACCCCTTCTAGCCTTTCCCACCAAAAAAAATCCCAGCTCCGGAAGCTTCCAACCACGTAAATAATAAACGACATCATCAAATCTGTCCAAGTCATCATCTTTCCATTTTCTCAACAAATTTTCTTATTAAAATGGCCGATACTTCTGAGCCAGCGGCAGAAACGCCATCTCAGAGACAGGCGCGCATTAGGAAGGAAAAGAGAGAAGCAAAAATTAGAGACGGGGGAAATGCAAGGTTGAATAAGATTATTGGATTAGGTGGTGGTTTACCTAGAGGTTTGTATTTTTCCTGTTTAGAGGCTATTTTGGATGGTTCTTTGAAATATATGTTGAATGAAGCTGATGGAGATTATAGAGGAGGTTCCATCGCCAGAGCCAGCGCCAGCGCAAACAGCTCCCAAGGCTACAAACCATGCGGATCCAGATGAAGTAGATATCTCGAATCATTATTATGAGCCGCAGACTCGCACGCCGATCCAGAGGTCTCAGAGTGGACAGCAACAACAGCAACTGAATGATGATCAGTTAAGACAAATGATGTTGGGTATGGATCCAGGCTCTTTGGGTGGTGCTCCTGGACAGAATCCATTTGGAGGAGCTCCTGGCCAAAACCCTTTCGCAGGTTTCCCAGGCATGGGAGGCGCACCCGGCGAAGACGGCGCAAACGATCCCATGATGCAAATGTTACAACAGATGATGGGAGGAATGGGTGGACCGCCGGGCGAAGGACAAACTGGCATGCCTTCATTTCCAGGTATGCCTGGTATGCCCGGTATAGGGATGGAGGGACAAGCTCAAGCCGCTGCTGTTGATCCTTATGCATATATTTGGCGCATAGTTCATGCTGTTTTCGCATTATCCCTCGGCTTGTACATAGCACTTACGACATCATTTACGGGCACGAAATACGCACGCGAGGCGTCGGGTTTGACGAATGATGGATTGAGCGCGGATAGTGTGCATTTCTTCTGGATCTTTGCAACAGCAGAGGTGGTCTTGTTGAGCAGCAGATTTTATTTGGAGAAGGGAGATTCGATGCCCGCTGGTATGATGGGGACAGTGATAGGTTTCTTGCCAGAGCCTTGGAAGAGTTATGTGGGCATGGCCTTGAGATATGGACGTATTTGGGGAACAGTTAGTGGAGATGCCATGGTTTGTGTTTTTGTGTTGGGAGTTTGTGCTTGGTTAAGAGGCGGCAACTAAAATACTTGGCATAGGTACTGAAAATTGCTAATGATGATGATGATGATGATGATTCCCTATCTATATGAGTTCTGGATATTATTTGTCCAAGGTTCCCTGATTCTCAATTCAGCTTATTGTTTGACACGGTCGGCAAGATATGATCTATCTGACTTGAACGATCACGATGAAATGAGAAATTACACATCTATTGTTCTAGTCATTTGCCGGGTGATTTTTAACCATGAATTCCTTTCCTGTTTCATCATAGGGATCCGAAATCAAATCTAGTCCTTAACATTGTGACCATTTTAAGCCTTTTTCTTCTGCAAGTGCAAGTGACAGATCTTTAAGATAGTCTATTCATGGACGTCAGAGAAGAAAGACTTCTTGAGATGTTGGTCTTGTCGTTGAGTGATGGCTGGAGTGCACAGTACGGGGAATATATGGGCATTCTTTTCAATCCAACCTTGCGTTGCGTTTTCCGTCATGTGAGCCTCAAGCGTTTATGGGATATGATTCATGATGTTCTTGACATCACATAAATAGCTAGTGCTGATCGATAAACACATATTGGAAATCTTGCATGCTATCTCAGGTTTAAGTATCCAACTAAACCCGCAATGGTTTGAGCGTGTCTTCCTACATTTGGTCTTTTGATTAATCAAGGGAAGTCTTTGTTGTCAGCGTGTAGGTAAAAGGATTGCATAGCCGAATTTGGGGAAGGGTAAATACAAATGGTTTGATAGTTGGTGATGAGAGGAAAACCGAAGAATGATGATGAGCTTAGTAGCAAAAAACAGAGGGAATTGAGGTAAATATTTGGACTTGGGCGTCTTGACTGATCTTAAGACGACAAGGGCAGGTGATTTTGTTTGAACGGCTTGGGGAAATGCAGTTTGGGGGTTCTAGGGATTCGGTCATGATTCTACAATTACAATAATCAAGTGGCAATATCTTGGCAATTGGCATCAACCCATCACATTTCTGCTTCTACCGCAACCTTAAGTACTTCCGTTGACTATGTACACAACAACCTTTCTTGTCAAATCTGTCGGCTTCGGCGTTTACAATTCTTCTTGTGTCTTTCGCAGTTATCCTTCCTCGAGAACCCATTTCCTTTGGCTCTTGAGTGCTTGCAACTTCCCACATCACAGAAGTGTCTTTCTGCATCCGGGTTGAGCTCGGAATGTACACCTGTATTGTGACGTACTAGATCTTTATGATACCAAAATCCGAATGATTTACATGAGGATATGTGGCATTTGAAAGGGAGAGTATGTGAGTTTGTATGAGCACTGAGGTCGGATATCAACATCAACAAGCCATACAATATGGATTTGCAAAAGAATTGGCACTTACTTTAACTCATATAGGAGTTTGAATCGTTTTTGACATTCTGAGCAAGTGTAGTGTTGAGCAACTGGTTGCGGATCTGGTTGTTCGGGTAAAATCTGAACAGTAGAATGATGATGATGATGATGATGTTGTTGTTGTTGGAATTGCTCCACGTGAGGATTGGAGACTGATGGATCTGAGTAAAGACTGTACTGAACCTGGCCTTCGCCAGGTTCTTCGACATATTCGACATATTCGAGAGCTTGCTGAAACTCTGCGTCTCCCGCAGGTAGATCTGGCAAAGTGGTGTAGGGAGTATAAGGCAGAGGATCAAAGTTTCCATGGTTGTCATCTTCAGCGAAAGAGCCTTCAATTCCATCAAGTCGTTTGTTTGTTTTCTGGGCCTCAGCCTGGGTACTTGAGTCGATTGAAGGATGAATAGGATATCTCCTGAGGTCTAAAAGGCTGGGATCGATAAATTCACGATGTAGATGATAATGTTCGTTTTCGTTCCCAGCGGTGTATTCCGAGAAGATAGGTTCTATTCGCTTTGAGCCTCCTTGCTCGTAGAGGAGGCCCCCGAATTAGGGTTAAGGTGGTGCAAAGAGTAGGAAGATGCTGAAGATGAATGAAAAAAAGAAGATCCTAAGGAGTGGCTGTGTAGGAAGAAAAGAGTGAGGAAGGACAGCGCCGCCTTTCGCGCCGTGAGGAGAAAAGAAAAAAGAAGGAAAGAAGGTGGGAAATTCGAGGGTTCTTATGATGCTCGAGATGTTGCTACAGCCAATCAGTCGTCATCATTGAATGTCTACACGTGTTGGAAGCGAGATCGCTCAACCAATATCCATTCGGTATTTTTATCACCCTGGTTGTAGGCCTCAAAATTGTAATGCTCCAATAAGCAGCGAGAATGCAAACAATACCGAATTTTCGATATTACGAACACGAATTTGTATTTCATTCTGCATGTATCGGCTATGAGAATGTTTCTTGGGGAATGTGATAGGTGGCCTCAAATGAGCATTGCCAATCATATTTGCTATCGTGACGCCGTCAAAATGGTATTGGGAGGCTGCATATATTCTCTATGCTAGGTGCTTAGTCCAAACGCAGATTGCCTTAGTTGTAGGCCTCATTTTTATAAGTCTACCAATTAATCGATTTCTTACTGAGGACGACAGAGAGTCTGAGATGCGAGAAGCTCACAGCCTATCATGAAAGTCTGCAGTCAAATCCAAAGACTTGATTACTCGACAATACTGCATGCCATGAGGGCGGGGTCTTCGGAGAGTTGCTGGCCAGGAAAGAATTAGCTTCCCATTTGTGTAAATCAGGCTCAGATGCTGACGACTTGGCTTGTTTAACGCCAATATGCTCGGGTTATTGGACATCTGATGCTTTCATCCTTTGAGGAATTACTCGCATCTTTCTTGATTTTGAACATCCGAGTCTCGAGTATTTCCAGTCCTCATTGCATATATATCGCTACCTGGGTTCTCAAATTTCATTTCAGTTGCTCTGCAATCGTCTCATATTACTACTACGTTGACTATCACCAAACTACAAGCCAAAACATCTATCCCCTACTCCAAATCAAACCATCCTCCACTTTACCACCTTCAAACCTACATCATGACCACCCTCTTCTGCTGTGATTCCCCCGAGTCCTTCCGTCCCCAAAAACTCACCCACCAACAAAAATTTACCACCTTCAAAGCCTGGGCCGAATACCCTCGCTCCTCCTCCGTCACAACTCCCACTGACCCAGAAGCTGACTCAAACCCCATCACTCCCACCACACCATACGCCATCCAATTTGTTCGACAAGTCAACTACGGTCCTCTTGAATCCAAACGCTACTTCATCCCTGATGAAACTTCCCCAGGAGACTTCATCGAAATCACCGAACAACATCTTATTCAAGCTAATTACCAGAAGTTGAATTCGTGAGTACATCATCCAGTTCTTTCTTATTTTAGATTTCAATATTTATTTCAAGATGAAGAACTCGCATGATATGATCCAACACGGGAAATGATGAATGATAAACTAACGAGTAAATAGATACAAAAACTTCAAATGCACCTCTCATAATAGATTCTTCGAGGTAAATATGTATCAGAAAGATCCGGTGAATGTTCATCACTGGCGAGCGAACATTGCCCGACCGGCAGGAGATATTGATCTCTGATGCGAATGTGGAGGAGAGAGGTGAGGAAAGTGATCTGTAGTCGTGAGTTTCTTGGATTGTGTTGTTGGAATGTGTTAGTTATTTGAGGGGATATCTTGATATTTGCTGTGCTGTACCACGGGGTTGGATTGCGATTTTTATTTAGTATGTTTGGGAGGAAATGAATAGTTGATTTGTAGATTTGTACGGAATTTTGTACGGATGTGAATATTTTTGATTCGTAATTTCATGATTTTACTCATATGTATTCGTCATGAAGGGAAGAGTGAGATGCACTAATGTTTGATAGTGAGACTGTGAATGCAATTGGGAAACTTCCATGTTGCGCAGGATTTTATATGTGTATCAAGTAATTCGATACTGATCAAGTCTGTAATATTAGAGATGAGTTCACCAGTGGGTGCACGAACTCACGGGACATGCGCTTTTTAAAAATACCCTTAAAATAAACAATCCTAAATATAAGCAATTAATTCAACTTCAAAATGCTATCGAATATATAATTAATTAAATATGAAATTATTTTTATTAATAAAAAATTATATAGAGAATATAATTCATTAACAAAATTAAAGTTTTATAATAAATTCGATCGATATTATATAAAAGAAAGTTTACACTTTATTTTAATTTAATTAGATTTATCAAAATCTATAGTTCATTAATAACTTTAAAAAAGAGATTTATTAAAAAGAAAAACCTTTAGAAAGACTTATAATCTTTTTAAGAATCTAAAGGGATCTATATCAATTAATAAGAATATTTATAAAATATTTGTTTTATTTTTTCAAAATAAATTATAAATTAAATCTTATAAAATGATAATTGATTACTTTAACTTGGGAGTAAAACAATGTTCACTATAGAAAAATTTAAAGAGATTTACAAATCAAGGTTAGCACTATAAAGCTACTTATTTAGAAAAATGTTTTAATAATTAAAACTATAGAAAACACATCATTTTCAGTGAAATGCATAAGTACAATAACCTTATTATGAAAGGATTTTGGAAATATATTCTATATATAGACGAAATATATATAGATCCTGCTTCTATAAGAAAGAGAGAGATACTAAAAGAAGCTAGAACTTGATATAAACTAGAAAATATAATAGAATATTTTTTATTAAAAAGTAATAAAATTTATTATAAAGTATAAGTTTTTTTTAAGAAAAAAGTTGAAAAATTTGAATTCTACTATAATAAGAAGGAATATACGGATAAATTGATACCTATATTTAAGTTTAAAAGGTGTTTTAAAACTAAAAGTCTTGAAGATTATAAGAAAAGACTTTATATATAAAAGAATGAAAAACTATATTCTAAGGATATTAAATCTTAGAACAATATTATAACACAAAAATACTATATAAAACAATTACTCCCTATTTATATAAAAACAATTGAAAGGTTATAGACAAAAAATTCTATATATAAATAACTTTTAATAAAGAATGGCAATAATTCTTATAAATTCCTTAAATATAATCTTATTTAAAAGCTTAGGAATATATACAATATTGAAAATTTATTTCATTCCTTTAATTCATCTAATTTAAATTCAATAGAAGGTATTTGGAATATATTAAAACAACAAATTCGAAAAAGATAATGAAAAACATTAAATAAATTGAAGAAGATTATACAGAACAAATAAAACAAAATCACATAAAAGGAAATTTAAAAAAGATATATAGAATTATCTTATAGATATAGAACTCTTATTAATACTAATAGGGGATATATATAATCGAAATTATAATAGTTATTAACTATTTAATTATAATATTATCTCATTTTGGGTTTTTTGAAGTTATACAGAGTGTTTTATAAGTCTGTGCACCTACTGATGGTTTGTAGGTGGGTTTTAGTCATATTTTTGTTGAAAAGAGAGAGAGAAATCGGAATGGTTGGATTTGCCGATGAAGTGTTCATAATTTTCGAGATTTGTTGAATTCTATTACACGGTAAAGCTTTAGGGAGAAGCTTTGCGGGAAACTTGGAAGTTGGAAGGAGAGACTTGGGAATTAGTCGGTTGCTGCTGTCGAGGAGATGGTTGAGAATTGAGTTATGATGTTTGAGAGAGGGGGTTTACTAGACTAAAGCAAATTCATCGGATGAAGCGTCGTATACCACTCTCATAGCGAAATACATTCCTATATTTATATACCAATTTCCTACATGGATACATTGCATACCTATTGGGAAGAAATTTATTTATTACTATCACAATCATAATCAAGAAGAAAAGCAATAGTATCAAAATACAAACTATACTGATAATTCTATATATATTGATTTAAGTTACCCACATTACCCTTTCGAAAAAGCGAGAATAAAAACACTTCAAAATATTTCAAAATAATGGATATCAAAAAGAAAAGAAAGAACGGAAGATGAAGAATCAGAAATAAAGCCAAAACCAAAAGCCAAACAAAATATCATACTCATACTCGTACTCGTAATCATGAAACATTAACATGAATGATGAAGAGAACTCGTGAAAATCAAAAAAAAAAACGAAATAGCAAAAACAATAAAAACTCGTAAACATAAAAAAGACATCAAACCATAACACATGATCTCCACCCCATCAAAAACACCTTCTTAGAAAAAGGCTCTCTTCGAAAACCTAACCTTCTTCTCTTTCTTCCCCTTCTTCCCACCAATCTTCTTCCCAATCCCCTCTCCCAGCTCACTCACTCTCCCTAGAAAATCCATAATCAAGACCCCCACCCAACCCATCGCATCACTCGCCCTATCCCTCACTTTCGACACAAACAAATACCATCTCAAGCGCAACGTCGCCAACTTCCCGGGTCTGCGAAATCTCTTCTCGTTATAATTCATTCCCGCATCATCATTCTTTTTCGTCCTGGAAAAATGTCCCATAATTCGTGCTCTCGTTGAGTTTGTCGCTGCTGTTGCTGTTCCTGTTTTCGTTTTCGTCTTCATTCCCATCTTCGCATGGATTTTCTTCTCTTTTTTCTTCTCCTTCTCGCTGAACGCCTCTCTCTCATCTTCATAATGCGCAGTAAACCATGGAAAAGCAGGCGCGCGCGCATCACCCCCCCTCAATCTCCCTCGCACCATAACCGCCACGCGAGCTTTCAATCCCTCGCCGCCTCCATCTCCCCCTTCGCTTATTGTCCGGCCGGTGCTCCGCCCCCAGCTGCCCCCTGATTCTGTGTTTCCACAGGCCCCTGTGTCCCGCTCGCTAGTGGGTGCGCTCCCGTCTCCCCGTCCTCGTGAATTGGCTCCATGGTTCCCTTCGTTGGGGATCCGGGGGGGCTCAACTGTGTCTTGGGAGGTAATTGCGGGGGGTTCGCCAACGATGTTGAAGTTTGTGTGGTTTGGATTGGCGTTAGCCCTTGAGGTTGCGCTGGAGTCTGGATTGGAGCCACGATGGGGGTTTCTCCAGTCGCAGCTGTAGCGTTTGCGGCGGAGGCTTCCGCTTCCTGACGCGCGAGCGCTTTGGCTTCTTCTTGTTGGATTCTCTATTATCATCAATCAGTATGCTATTCTTCTTTGTTTAGAAATCGTACAGAATGTTTATCGATCCATCTCGGAATCTAAAACCCGCAACGCAAAATCGAATGTGTGAGAGGGTAAAGATAAGGAGAGGAGGAGTAAGTGAAAGGGTAGAAAATAGGTCATCCAACCTGCAATTCGAGGCGCGACGTTCACCTCTTCGTCATCATCTTCCGATGATGTGGAACAAAAACGCGAGTGACGGTAGGAAAGAATTCGATGTCTCACCTGATCTAGAGTCATTCTCTTTTTTTCCTGTTTGGTCTGTGTTGGACTTGGGACCGGGGTTGCTACGACGGGAGCGACGGGGGTAACGGGGGCAACGGGAGCGACTGGTGTAGCTTCTACTGCTGGTGTTGCTGCTACAGCTCCGCTTGCAGTAGGAGTGGCGACGGCAGCTTTCTCATCAGTTTTTGCCTGTTTCTCCATTGTCCTCTTCTCCTTCAGTGCCACAAGCTTCTCTTTCAACCCCATCACCTTTGCTTTCACACCATTACCACTCTTCTTATTAGCATTCTCCTTCTCCACCATGATGCTCTCTCCCGAAGCACCACTATCCATAGTCTTAACCCCTTGACCCTTTCCCCCCTTAACCTTCTCAATCGCCAAAGCCGGTCCGGCCTTAACAACCCGTCCAACGCATTTTCCGCCCTCTCTGAACCCCTGCACTCCAGCTGCAAAGTGGACTTTACAATCATACCATTCCTTTCTCGCAGTCATGCATTTCTTCTTCTGTGCGTAAGCCTTCTCGGCCTTCTGCGCATTCTTGTATTCCTTAGCCGCATCTTCAGTTTGCGTGTGCAAATCCAATGCTGTTCCCGCAGCGGCTGGGGCAGCTCCTGCGGCAGCTTCAGCAGGTGTAGCGGGGAGAGGATTAACAGTATTTGTTGGAGCCGGGATCGGTCCAGTGGTGGTAGGAGTAGAAGACATGTTTGAATTTGTTCGAGAGCGAGAACTGCGTGGACGAATGGAGAGAAGACGACAGGTTATGTGCGGTCTTTGACGGGGGTGTGAGTGAAAGATTTTGAAAGATTTCCGAGGGCCCGGAGCGTAGATGCTGCGGGTGTAGTGTGCGGGATTATGTGATTATGAGGATGGAAATGAAGTGTGTGTGTCTGTCGGTGTGTCGAAGACTGTAAAAGTACTAAAGACTCGAGATGATGTCGTAGTCGGAAGAAGTGAATACAATCTGGGTATCTGGGTATCGAAAAGACAATCTTCTTAATGACAGCTACTAAAGACGACTCTTCGAAGAAAAAGGAATAGGGAAAAAAAGGTGCGAACATCTCCCTTCATAAGAACTTCCCAGAGCCAATTCCGTCATCGCTCCATCCACCACACTCTCTCGCATCCACCCCTCCCATCCCAACATCCCTCATTTCATCTCCAAACCAAGCGCGTCAAACTCCAAAAACTTTCCTCAAAAATCGATAGTACTGCATATCCCTTTGAAATTACCTCCTCATGCTCTTTCTCCCCAGCCAACCTCCCCCAACAAACTTCCATCTAGTATGCAACCTCCTTCCCAAACCGTCCCAAGTGACACGCACACAACTAGGAATTTGCTCGCTCTCCTCCTCTCATCCATAATGCCAATCGTTTCTCCCCCAATTCATTACTCAAACGGTTATTGTGCATGAATTCCCAAGCGTGTGGATCCCTGTCCCCGCACAGCCCGCGCATGATTTACAAATTTCATCTCAAGATTTGCGCTCGGTGGATATGGTCAAACCGTCTAGAAGGAATCTAGAAAGCAAAGAAGGAAAGGAAAGAAAAAGCGTTGGAAAGTTTTTGAAATTCCAAATCTTATCCAACTCCTCGGTACAAGCGTGTGAAGAAAGAATGTCATTTGATTGATGGATAGACAGAACTGAAAAGAACAGACACACCCCACACCATCTCGTGATCCGTAAGCGATTCAGAAAAATAGGAGAAAATCCCACGAACCCATGGAATTCAAAACGCGTTCGCGAAACAGTACGGTTCTCATGAATAATTCACAATTAGCACGTGTTTCCAATCTATCCAATCTCGATAGTCTTGTGTCAAGTCCAGCGTATACCACGAACTTTCCAAGCGGAGTGTCCGAACTCAAGCACAATATCTATTATGCGATGTGTGCATTCTCCATCGTAAACAACCGTTATTTCAAAGAGAAGCATGGGAAATCTTCTAGTGTACCGATATTCTTCCTTTTCTCTAACGCCTTACGCCTTATGGGGAACGGAGAATTTATCGTATAATTAATTCTTCATCCGCATGATTGTCTGAACTAACACTTTTCCATGTTTCAATAAAGACATCGATTGATCTACAGATGCTTGGTTAATTTCTTCATAAAGATTACAGTATGCAAGAAGACTAGCTAGCTAATTCTCGTATGCTCAAGTATACTACAGCATACCTACCAATCACCAATCAATCTAGATTCTCTACCCTCACATACATACCATGATTTGAATTACATAGATTCAATCTTCAAAGTACAGAATGAGCATAATCATGAATTTCGGATATCCATATATCCACCCGTCCCTCCGTCCATTCGTTTACACCTACCTACCAATCTATCTATCTATCTATCATTCCACCCTTTAACCATTCTCTTCGATTTCGGATATTGAGTTTCTTATACTCCCTATGCATTAAATGGAAGACTTCACCCGATACACCTATTCCTATTTTGATTTCGACTTCAATTTAGTGATATCCTGTATCCTTTATCCTCTGTCCTCTACTCTTCTCCTCATCTTCCCGCTCGACATCTGCATTTAAGATCATCCAAAAGTCCCAAACTAAAAATTTAAAGTTCATTCTGTAGAATGAAGAGATCCTTGCCCTCTAACGCTTTGTGATTCATGTGAAGGATCTGTCGTTAGTTTCTCTGAAAACGCTATACTCACGCAAGTGAATCGTAAAAAAGTCCAAGGATTAGGAGAGAAGGAAAATGTTTCCTGTGGTTTAATCTGTTATAGATCTACCACGACTGACTGATAGAAATCGCCAGCTAGCCTTTCACAATATTCGGCCTTGAGTGTTTTGTAACCACATCTCTGATCTCCTATCCCATTCCATCTCGAACTCATTCCCCATCGCCTCCCTCATACCCTCCCTTTCTTGCCCCAGCCCTTCCTAATCCCGTCAACCCCCTCTCCCTCTTCCCCTCACCGAAATCATCCAAATATAGCCTCTCCCGAATTCTCCCCCTCAAATCCCAACTCCGCTAACTTCCTCAATCGATTCTTATCCCTCTTCGCCTCCATCGCCCTCCTCTCCTTATCCAACTTATGCACCACCTCCGCATCCGCTTTCTCGTATCCTGGCGGCGCCTCATCATCTTTATCCAAATCTATTTCGCCCAGCAACAGTACATTTTCGCCGCGCACGAGAAACAGTCCGCGGGGTATATCGGCGTAGAGTCCAGGCTGCATTGCATCCTGAGGTGAGGAGGGAGTGGGAGGCGCAATGAATATCCGTTCGACGGTAGATTGAAGAACGATGTTTGCTGTAGTGGAATGTTTAGTGAGTGATGTGATGTGATGTGATATGATGTGATGGGGATGGAGAAGGGGAAATGGGTATATACCGAACTGATCCCAACTTCGGAGTATTCCAATAAGTTTTCTGCCATCGCGGAGAGAGATCATAAGTTTTTCTGTAAAGTGAAAAGGTTTTGATTAGTACATGTATGTATTCATCATCAGAGAGCTGTGTGTGCATCTTCTCAAGCCATGGATCTACCGCTAGTAGACTCCATGCAAATAGCCATGACACAACCAGTATTTCGAACATAGCTTCGCAGATGGGGAAATCTTACTATCAGTCAAGTCAAGTAGTTGCGCAGCAGTCGTAAACATTTGCGCCGGGAGTTGTTGATTCGGAGGAGGAGGTATTATACCAGCTCCTAGAGCTGGCATCTCAGCCCCTCCGTCTGGGCCTTGATATGTCGGTTGTTGATCCATCTTGTCGGTATCTTTAAAGGTAAAAAATCGATTATCGTAAGAGTGAGAGTTTCAACCAATCCATTCCGCGAGTTGACGATAAAAATCTCCAAAAGTTGAGGTTCGTGGACAAAATGATTAGTTTGGATGGATGGAGTGGAAGTAGAAGATTCAATGGTTGTGGTGATAGAGAGTGACCAATCGGTTGATAGACGCGCACTGTTAAAGTTGGGGTAAAGAAAAGACGCCTTGAAAAATGGATTTGGCTTATAATTTGATATCAGGATGAATTGAATAACGACCTTATTTTGAATTTTGTGGTGTCTATCTATTATTCCTATCTGGATTTGCAAAGTGAAAAAGACCCAAAACCTACGCGCTTTCCCATCAAAGTTATCTTGCAGAGGGTAGAGAAGAAATGATATGAAGAACATTGCTCTTGAAGATACCAGAAAATCCTGACCTCTGTGTATCTCTGTATTCCTCCTTAGACCTCCATGTTAAAGATCTCTCCTTAATTTTGGATGGCCATGAAGTGAGTACTTGTTCCTTAGATTTCCGTATTCAAGATGCTATTACTCCTCAAGTGTTAAGTCAAGGTTGGTAATGATATTTCTCTTTATTTCTCTATATATATTATTCGATGTCGAATCAATCCTTCCTGTTTTCCCTTTGTTTTCTTTCCCAATGTTAATAGAAATGTCCATGGACGGTTAGTAAACACACTGTCCACTTGATAAGATATAGCAAGAACAGTACAAGTTAGTACTCAAGTACTTTAGTGAAAATCTCAAAATGTGATATGTCATGGCGCTTTTGGGGAGATATGTAACAATGAAGGTGTCGAAAAACCTCAAAGTAAGTAAATATATGATGTTCAATAGAAAAAATGACCATAGAACAACATGTGAGTGATGTGAACACACTGCATTAGATCCGACTTTATTTTGCCATCTAGTGCAGACCAAAAAAAGAAGAGTAAAGCAGCAATTTTCTTGGAGAAAACCAACCAACCAACCCAAAAATAAAATGCTCAAAATATCTCTTTTACTTATTTTTTTTTTTTCAACGGAACCCGGTATCCACAACTCGTTGAATTGACACTGCAACTGGTGTGTATACAGTACGACCGATCTCAAAAACTCATCACTGCTCAATCCCGACTCGATCGGATGGAAAGGAATATATTTGTGAATCGTCGTGTGCTGTGTACTGTGTATCGTTGTTTCTTCGACCGTCCTCCTACAGCGAATTGTTGGAGAATAAACACCGGGCCCCCAAGGCTACCGTTGAATGGTACAACGTTCCAGAGCCTGTAATAATTCTGGACGCTCTTGAAGATCCTGTTTTGCCTCTGAATATGTCGCCCACTTTCGATTCCTCTTATGCCTCTCGGGCCATTCTTTCTCTTCGCTTGTAACGGTGACTTGGAAGAATTGGTAAAGTGCTTTGGGTGCATTTTTCGAGATTTGTTTGGCAGTTCTGGTTTCGGTGATTTGGCCCAAATCATAATCGACGGTACAGACTATTCCTGCCTCCTCCCATGCTTCACGTTGCGCTGCTTGAATGCATTCTTCATCCGTCTCCCATCCACCTTTAGGTAAAACCCATGCGTTCCGACGTGTAGATTGTATAAGGAGGACGTGAGTTTTTGCTTGGTTCAAAGGGACAACTCCTGCAACGAGTCTTTCTCCTTCTGGGCCATAACCTGTGTTCCAAAAAGGAGGATGTAAGCCTATGAACATTCCGGATTTGGACGTAGGGGAATGTCAAAGGTAAGAGGTAAAAAGTACGAATGCGCCAAATGTCATAGAGGAATTGCAAAACGTACGTTGGTTATTTCTCCCAGTACGAGACTCCATCGGAAGACCTGTTGCCATGATGAAGGTGATGCTTCACCTGTAGGGTGCTGATGCACAGTGCAGGAAGCACAATTCGTTGTTGTAAATCAAATAATTAAAAGTTCGTTGAGATAAAGTTCGGCTGCGGGAGGGAGTTGAGTAGGCTACTGTAACTTTTTTTTTTCTTTTCTTGAAAAAGGATCAAGAAGCGCAATCGTGCATGCTATCTTGGAGTAGGCTGGGAGGGAGTTTTCAATATCGAATCGGAAATTTGTTTGGATATTGTAAGAATTTAAAGACAATATTTATTAATCAGTGGTAATTTAATTGATTGTCATTATGTGTTGGACATGTATCAGACAATTCGGATTTTGACGAAGAAGAAGAAGAAGAAGAAGAAGAGGGCGAAGATGGAGAAGATGGAGAAGGAGAAGAAGGAGAAAGGGGGTATAAGTTTATGAGTGTGTATGCGTGTGTATGTGTACGGTATGTGTGTGTATGTGTATATGTGTGTGTGTAGAGAATGGAGTCAGTCTTCTTTGGAAGATTTTGAAATAATGACTGACTGAATTCCAATTGGAAAGTACTGACTGGTTTTGAAAGTGCAGGTGAGGTGAGGTGAGGTGAGGTGAGGTGAAGTGAGGTGATGGGAAGGGGTTACTACTACTCAAATCACAGTCCAGTAAAGTAAAGCAAAGCAAGTACAGTGCAAGTGCAAATGCAGTACGATTTACGGCAAGGCTTGCTACAACAATAAAACATCCACTTGTTTTTCTCACTAACCTATTTAATTTTAAAATCTTTCCAACTTTGTATGAAAGAAAAGGTTCGAACTTCGGAGTAAACGGAGAAGGAGAGGTCAAACCGTCAAACCGTCAAAGAGAGGGATCGAAGAAGGGCTAGCCTCTAGCTTGCTTGGGATATATCTTTTGGAGATGGTATTACCATATACCTAGTAGGTAGGGAGTTCCGTGTCTCGTGCCTTTTTTCCTAATATCGGTATCGGAGTCATATTTGTAGATTTTTAATTATGTGTATATATGTATATATATATACTCACTCGTATATGTGTGTGTGTATACATGGCGGAAATAGATCAACACCTAAAAGGAGAATTGTTCATTTCTACCTTGAAAGTTGGTTGATGGGTGTTCAGAACAAAGCAAGAATTACAGCAAGAATTACAGCAGGATGTATGACTGACTATGTATGTGTGAACTTTACAATGAATCATTCTTGGGATATTTCGAGCATACCGGTACCTAGGTAGGCATCTTACTTACCTGGATAGCATTAGCATTAGCATTACAAACCAATAAGGCGTGGGTAGCAAGAAGGTAGACCCTTTACCAATTTCTGTCGACGGCATCTCTTTCTATATATGAACACGTGGAAAATGCACAAAGAACTTGTAGGTGCCTTTAACCACTATTGTAACGGTGAATTCCAGCCAGGTGTGAATGGGTAGCACGATCTAGAAGCGGTAAATGATGAGTGGCGTTTCAATATAAACGTTGAGATCAATAACTACCCAGTACTACCTACCTATCCATTGCTACATTGAATTCTATCCTGTCCTGTCCTGTCCTGTCCTGTCTGATTTGCATCCAAAAGCTTCAATCTCGATAACTGGTAATATATCTAACCGCCAATATATCTTTTGACTCCGTACTGCATCATTCGGGAATTCCAAACGACGATTCCTAATTTGCTTATTCTTTCATTCCAAGACTGAGTGGGGGTTTACCGAGCCGTTGTAATGTTAATACATGTATCATCACATCCATCACGCAGGTGAATATCTTAAATGAGGAGGTAGGCACTCTCGAGGCACCTTTCTTTGTCTGTTTGATGATCGGTAACGATCGTATGTCTCGTCTCCTGATCTTCTCTCCAGCTGGCGACTCGAAGCTACAAACTATTGATCCCCCATCAAAAGAATCACTGCAACAACAATTAGGGGTAAAGGGGATGATCGCTAGGAAGTACACAGTTTGTTAATTATACATACCGGTACCTAGGTGGGTAAATTCTACCCTTGTTGCCCATACGACGATTCTAAGTACGGACAGTAAAGGACTGACTACCATACAACGTGCTCACTTATTTTCATCTCCAATCATTCGACCGGCCTATCACTTACTTTCGTGGAAGAAGCAACACCTGGATAGATTGAGCCGCAAAAGCCGCAACCAGTACAGGACAGGACAGTACATGCCATGCATACCGACATCAGCATCGGCATCGGACCTGTTTTTCTATCCAAAACCAAGTTAGCCCATCCAATTCACCAATCCTCATAATTGGTTCGACGGAGAGTACAGAATAGAGTAATACAGAACCACATATACTCCTACAATTTCTGAGTATCAAACAATGTATGTCATTCCCCCACCAACTCAAAATCGATCTTCTCATGCTTCGATTATTTGATTGTTATGTTAGTTATACAGTTGTATAAGTTTGAATCGAAAACCTATTAGAATAATGGACTTACCAAATCAAACTTCATTCTAGTCTCGAGCTCTCATTATCTTTTCTTGAACGCGGGGTTGACAACACAAACCCAACTAATAGCACCCACTTTCTACTCTACTCCTGATTCCACTGCCTACTCCCACTCTGTCTCTCAATATCACTCCCACTCTCATCTGCACTCACTCCTACTTCATTCCCGCGAATTATCTACCCGTCCGTAGCCATACAACAAGAACAGCAGCAACAGCAGCAACAATATCAACATCCATCATCTCACAGCCAATATCGGCCTTGTCACCTTGGGCTGTTTCCACGTCATGCAAACCCCAGTCTCGCTTCTTTCGCCCCTTGGTAAGTTCTAACGTTCGTTATTGGAGAACCAGGAAATCAGAAAGACACCCCATTATGGATTCTGGTATTCATCATTGACCAATAAATTGACCTCGTGGGTAAATGGCTTGATGTTAATTCATCTTGGTTTCTCATCATCATCTTCTTTCCTTCCTGAGCAACTTTCCTCGCAATGCCATCTTTTTCTTTGGTATTTGTCACGCTGCATGCTGTATATTGTACAAATATACAAATGAAACATATCTACCTAGATGCTGCGTAGTAGTACTACATTGTATACATTCCAAGAATATCACGGGGAATTTGATGAGATTCCTTGGTAGTTAATTATTGGTCACAATCACCATCTCCTTTCATATGGTTTAACAATAACCCCACTTCATCCTGTTCATCCTGTTCATCCTGTTCATTCAGTTCCCAGAAACACGGCTGAACCAGAAATCCAAAACTTATCGTCATACAAGTGTTACCATTCTGCAATCGTCACGATCATTGTAAAAGAATCATACAATCCCTTTTCTCCAGTCTCACATTGAAATTTGAAATTATCATCACCGGATTTGCATTGTAGCACAAAAACAGATGGCACCGCAGATTTCAGTATCTTTTGGATGGAAGAAATGAATCGTTGTGATAAAATTGTTATCAATTTGCTGACTTGATTCATGCGATTTCTAGGCTACAGTAACAACAGTTGTGGATATTGTCACAATGATTCAGGCAGTTAGTTACATATTTTCATTACCTACCTACAAATCTACATTCTTGGCAATATCATGCCATGTGTCTCTATAACATGTGCTTCTTTTAATAAGGAAATTGCTTCCTTTCTCATATTCAATATTGTTGAATATTTAAAAATTCGTTGCTCACAGGCTTCGTTCAAGCTTCCACGGCGTGCAAAGGCCATTCATTTATTTATTTCTATCTCCAGGCTATTCGTACTACGCCAGAACCCAAACACTTCAGCCAGAATTTTATCAAGGACTTCTCGATCGAGGATGGAGACGCTCAGGCACCCTTCTCTATAAACCCGATCTTCGAAAATCATGTTGTCCACAATATGCCATTCGTCTAGACTCTCACCAATTCCGGCCAACAAAAGATCAACGGCAAGTATTAAATCGTTTCAACAAATATGTCCTCGGAGATACATATACGAAAGAAGCAGCAAGATTATATCCTAAATCACGCGAGCAAGCTAAGAAATGTAACACGGACTTTGATCTCGAGGAAAGAATTCATGAAGGGGAAAAGCAAAAGGTCAAAACGCCACCAGAGCCAGCACATACTTTTACTGTGACGTTGGAAACAGATGAGTTTACAGAAGAAAAATATACTCTTTTTGAAAATTACCAACGGATTGTTCATCATGAACCTCCTGATAGAATAAGTAAAGGAGGTTTCAAAAATTTCCTCTGCTCTTCCCCTTTACCACGAAGCACCACAACCATCGACGACAAAACCAAACATCTAGGTTCCTACCACCAATGTTATCGTCTGGATGGAAAATTGATCGCAGTAGGCGTCCTAGATCTCCTCCCTAAGTGCGTCAGCGCAGTCTACTTCATGTATCACGAATCGGTACATTCTCACGGCTTTGGAAAATTAGGCGCAGTGCGAGAAATTGCACTAGCGAAAGAAGAGGGTTATCAATATTGGTATGCAGGATTTTACATTCACACTTGTGTGAAGATGAGATATAAAGGGGATTACAGCCCTCAATATATTCTAGATCCGGAAACGTACAATTGGATAATCTTTGATGAACATTTGAGGGGACGATTTGACGAGAGGAAATATGTCAGCGAGACTCAAATAGCTTCGGAATCCTCGGAATCTTCAATACGAAACTCGGATTCAAATAACACGCCGGATGAAGATCAATCAGCCCTCTACAACGCAGATAGTAAACCCATCTTCGAAACTTCCATGCCGGGTCTCCTTTCTAAATCAGACATCCTAACAAAATCCCCACTCGATCATGTTAAAATCCGCCTCGGCCAACGTGTGCACGAGACGCACGAGCTGGTGAGCTGGGAGAACGATAGTGTAGGGGATGTGGATAGTCTCAAGGGCATTATTGCAGAGTTGATTAGTGCGGTGGGAGTGCGGCTGGCGGGGGAAATGGTGGTTTATTTTCGATGAGGGGTAGGGAGGCGAAGAGTGTGCGCATTGCATTGTAGGGAGGAGCGAGGGCGATGCATTAGAAGGTAGATACCTAGGTAGATAATTGGGGACGAAGGAATTACATGACATTATAATATAATGTGACGATTATACTCACATTCTCATATCCCCGAATTTGATACACAATTTCTGTGTTCGTTATGTTATGTTGTATTATGTTATATTATATTATATTATATAAATCGTCTGTTTCAACACACACATATACTTATTCATTACGCTTCTTCATAAAAGAGAAGTTGAAGAAGTATCGACCTATACCTAACTTTTCGAACCATTGCTTTTCTTCTTCCTTGGGGTGAAAAGAGATGGAGGGCTAATCAAGTCGGGGAGAGTAGAGAGGAATAAAAGGGGGGGGGAGAGAGAAGAAAAGGGATGCAAAGACGAAAGGAGGAATGGATATCATGGGGGTTGTGTCTGATGTCTAGTGTCTAATGTCTAGTGTCTAGGGGGGTTGCAACACAAAAGATTATATATTTCATCACCAAGACTTATGTAGCCTGAGCTTATTGCAAAGATAAATTATCCATACTGAAGCTCGCTCGTATTGGAAAGCTCCTCGATGCATGTGCATTTTTAAAGTTCGGAAATTTTGAAACCCCTTCCACCTATTTAGAAAACAAATGTCGCGCCAAAAGTCGAGCATTATAATTCGTTCAAGAGGAGAGCAATGATATCAAATTCTCCCAAATGCCAGCCAGAATATTACTGCGCTTCACACCTTTCGTTCGTTCACCCATTCCTTGATTACATCGAGGAGATGGTCATGTAAGTTCCATGAGGGTAACTCTGCCAGACTCATTAATCATAACAACATTATATCATAGACGTCACAGGAAGTAGGTCTACAATTGGGCAGGAACTGCATCGCCTTTCGGTTGTTCGGTGATCCCCATTCTATACGATCCCGCTTGACCTGGATGTTACTCAAGTCGGATCGCTTTGGAGATGAGCCACCCATGAAGAGAGTATCAATCCAAAGAGGTCGTTTATCCGTTTGAAAGTATTGGTGATCTTGAGAAAGAACTAACTTCTTACAGTCGGCACTTATGTCAGAGATCTACTGCAAAGTCCATATAGAGTGTTCTGTTTCTGGACGGCCCCAAACCCTGATGATAGTACTGTCGAACGTGGAACTTCCGTGGCTTGAAACTAGTACACAACTTTTAGATGAGAATGCAACTGTTGTCATGCAGTAGGCTCGGTTTTGTTCTCCACATGGTTGAGATAGTGTTTGGATATGTCGTAGATGGGAGTTTTAAATTGTGATGGCGTACTCAGATGAGCGCATCACTGTTAATTGCTTGGATTTTGGCAGGTACGAAATGGCTTCAATGATTCCAGAATATCCATTTACAATCTCTATGCAAAGCGGTCGCTTGGAAGTGATGTCTAGTTTCCTAATGGTGCCATCACTGAAGCCCAAAATCAACAATTCGTCATTCGGTGAAAGTGACATTTCTATTGGGTGAAATTGCTCCTCTAGATCCAATCGCTTTTGTACGAGTGAGTATATAGATAACCTGTCTTCCAGCAAATCAACTGTTTTATCGATCTCAGACAGGAGCTCGAAGCCGAATAATTCCAAATGTTCATCAATCGTTCTTTGGTGTTTCCGAACAGTTTGAAGTATATCATTCTGCGGATCAGCCAGGACAAAATTTCTAAAGAAACGTGTAGATCCGTTCCATGAAAGATGAGCAGACAATCGGATTTGGTATTCCAATATCGCAGCGTAGAGATCGATGATGGCTGATCGCCATGAACGATTCAAGTCCTGCAGATACAATTTTGCGTTTGTCTGACTGCATAGAAGCTGTTAGCTTTCAGAAGTACTGTAAAAAATACCATCCTAGCTTTTCTAATTTCCGAGCTCCTTCATTACGTAAAAAAGTGCATGTCAAATTGCAGATTTCTGGAGTATCGGGCAATAGTATTAAAAGGGTAGATTCATATCCAATGTCTCAATTTCAGAAGGTGTTTCGAATGCTCGAACTTTTCAAAAAGATTCCTGCACTCCATCGAAGCACAACTAAAGATTGAACATTCCATCTTGTAGAACGTATTTCGTTTGCCCTAAATCCTTGATTTAAAGTTTGTGCGTGATCCACGAGATGAGATAGAGAGAATGTTATTGAAGCAAAAATCGAGCAAGTACCTTTGTGGTTCCTTCTATAATCGACGCTCGACAACTTCGGAACGAATTAGCGCGTGGCAAATTTCTTCAAACCCCGTAAGAGCATCTTCGTCTTGAGTAATAGGGTTTAAAAGGAGCTGTTCACGTGTCATGTCAGGATAGAATCTCTCAATATATAAGAAAATAAATCTCAAAAATACAGGAAGAAAGATAAGAACACCCGCCTATGCCAACGAAGCATGTGGATCGCCAGATATTGCCGTTGTGATGAAGTCTTCACCATTTATCATCATCTTGACACTTTGACCAAGCACTCTGTTAATTCCAGTGAGACGACTAGTTTTCCAAGCCTCGACTTGGACTTCGAGAATAATTCTCTAAAATAACAATGTATCTTCCATATCTGTAATAGACGATATTGGAGGAGTTTCATCGTCGCTGCTCTCGATCCGTTCGTGTTTGCTTGCATCTACTACATGTTTCGCCACTGTGAGGAGTTGTGAATGTTTATCAGTGAAGATATTCCCATTGACGAGATATATTGCACAGGCGAGCACACAATCATCGGGCTCACATACCTAATCGATATTGGCTCAACAAATCTCGTTCATATCCACCAACAAGCTTACCATGCTTCGGATCTCGACAAAGTTTCTCACGAGCTTCCGTCCAGAGTGAGATCCGATCTTCATGCTTCGCAGAAGCAGCAACAACAGTAGTAGGAGTAGGAGAACAACCAACACTATCAAGAATCGTATCATCTAATTGCGCGCTAGGAAGCCCTCGAGAAGGCCCATCAACAGCCTCATCCTCAACTAACTCAAGCACTTGGCCATCTGACCTCGCCCGAATCTTCAGCTGAAGTCTACGGGGCAAACAATTGCGGAACTTCAAAAACTTTCCGTGTTTTTGTAGTTTCGACGAATTACAATCTGGATATGAATTAATGTGCGAGAAACTTCTCAAGAAATGGCGAGCCTTATGCATCATCTGCATTGCAGTCTTCCCTGCACATCGATACCCATCTTCACATCTCACCACAATTTCAATTACAATCACAGGCATACAAACTCTATTCATCTCCCGCAATCTGAAAAAACATCATATTTATTGCTCTACTTTCATTTAAGAAGGAAGGGGTATGTCCTTAAAAAACAACAATAGCAAATAACCCAAAATACAAGACGCCGAACGCTCAATGCCTTCTTTGCTTTTTCAGCCAGCAGAACTAGAACCAAAATTGCAATACAAGAATACCCATGTAGCAGGTGTCCAAATCACTTATCCTTATCCCATATGTATGTTCAACAATGATTAATTCTTTATTTATCCTTCGAGAACCATGGAAACTTTTTCTTCACGGGTTCTGCGGCTCCTGATGCCGACTCTACTTGGAGACTTCGTTGGTAAATATCCTAGTTGGGGGTTAGTTTCCACGTTGATATCGGTCGTTGTGAATGTGGATTAAAAGGAATAGAATACGGACCTCATCATCTGTCGGAATGAGACAATCCAGAATGAGTTCCCTCACCTTATCATTATAGATAAGTTTTGGATATGGTTCAGTTTGACTCTTCATGATGGGTAAGATGACCTCGGACAAAACCTCAAATTTCTTCCAGTTGATCCTCTCTCCATTTGCACCAACGAAAGTTCGACTTCCTTCCTCAGCCGAGACGAGATCGCGTCGAGTCAATGGAATAAAAGGGATACGAGGCAGTGGCGAGTTCTCCCAAGCTAAACGGTATGCGAAATGACTCTTTTGTGTACCCATCAAGAGGACGAGACGAGCAAAACGCTTTTGAACCTCTGCAGGGACCAGGTTTCGAGTCTGAGTAAGACGATGTATAGCGGTCCCATTGATTCCTGCGAGAACAGCTGCAAGACCATTATAATTATTCAGCTGGCGTAGCCTCAGGGCTACGTTCATGAATTTCTCTAATATCTGTGCTCTGTGTTTGGCTTTATCTCGCATCAGAATCATATTAGCAACCCATTTTGCAATGTGGTTAAAATGATTTATCATGCGATTCACATTGGCAAGGCTTTTACATTTTTCCTTCTGGTTGAGTGACAAGCTAACATGTCGAACCAAATCCCGAAGACGTATGGAAGAAAACATAACCCAGTCTATCCTAGTCATTTCATCAGCAAGGTCGGCATTTGATATTTCCATGAACATGTGGTATCTGTCCTTAGATAATGGTAGAATGCCTTTAGGTGTCAATCTTGCAGCCTCTTTCTCGTAGTCTTCGACTGCCAGAAATGCAGGTGCACTGAAGTCCGGTTGAGACGTTCGAGCCGAGAATAGAGATTCCCTCCTAGACCCTTTGAGTTCTATGTCGCTGAAGTCGTCTTCTGGTGCTAAAGTAGTCACATCCGTTTCATACCCTCCTTTGGAATCGGCCCTTGTAGTTGTAGGAGATACGGGGGCTGATTCGTTAGCTTGTTCATTATCAACATCGGCGTCTGTCCTAGCCCAGCCTGTATCGTCATCCTCCACTACACGAGATTGTAGTTGGGTCCGCATTTCCTGCGCGGCAGCAGCAAAGACTGGATCCGAAGCTAATTGATTTATGAACCCATCTAGCTTGCGGCTTGTTGAGAGACTTGCGAAATCACCCGGATATCCCGATACCCATTTAGCTACCACGGTAATTATCCGCAGCTGAGTTGTTGTTCGTGTTAAATAATGGGTATTTTTGTCCTCTCCTAATCGAGTTAATCTGTTCAATATTGCATCGAAGAGTTCACCAGGAGCTGCAAATTTCCTATAAAGACAGAGAAAGATTTCCGAGAAGTTGACGTCGGCTCTTGACATGTGTTGTCCAAGGAGTCGATCGACAAGATCATCAAAAGTGACACCGGCCACTTTAGCAGGTTTGTCGAAGAAAGTATCGTCACTGCGCTGGAGAAGTGGTATATCATCGGAGTATCGGTATGGAGAGTCTGCATCCAATTCCT